GAGCCACAAAAACTAATATGTGACCACTGCTAGAGATATGCTTTAGCTCGAAACTTAAAAGCCTAAAACAATATTCAGAGAACCATTAGATTCATTCAACCCGTTAATAAATACATGGTACGTAAATCACTTTAATTTGTAAATGTAAGATGATTAATAGTAACTTGTAATCACTTTTACGAGACGCTTTGAATCAATTAAATACAATGCAGAGATCATAATAAATCTTGGGAAGCATCATCTTTTGACTAACGATTTGAATCGGTTCTCTGATGATCTCTCAGACTCTCACTATAAATAGCGAATGCTCAATCACAGTCTTTACTCAAGTCTCAAATCTCTACATTCTTGATCAAAATCACATCTAAAAATGAGTGGAAAAAGCGTTAGTAGCGGGGGAGGAAAGAGCGTTGGTGGCGGTGGAGGAGGAAAAAGTAGCAGCGGCGGAGGTTATATGGTAGCACCGGGTTCCAAAGGTGGTGCATACATGATCAAGAGGTGGATTTGAGAGTAACCCACGAGGTTACTTTGATAATTTGCATGGTAGTGGACAGAGCAAGAAGTGACTTGTTGTGTGTACATGCTACTTCAAGTCTACACGCATGAATCATCATCTTTTATCTCTTCCTTAATCAAATAATTATTATTGAATAAATGAGACTTTAGCTTTATAATGCGTTGCCATTGCTAAGTCTTTACTCTCTTGATCATCAATGGTCAGTAGTCGTAAAATTGTAATGGGCCTTTTTGGGTTTATACGGGCCGAAAAAAACATAAAACTCATCTAAAACAAATATTTAAAATTTGACCCCCAAAAAAAAAATTCTTAAAAAATAATAGTATTTGAAGTAAAAATGCCGTTTCGTTAATTATTTAGGAAAATCTTGATTCAATTTTGGGAAAAAGCAAAATCCAGAAATTTATAAGTCAAGCAATAGAGAGCCAACCGTTTCCGATAAGCTGCATTGGATCAGAGGAAGAAGAAAAAGAAGACGTTGTCCACGAGACCGTAATCCCACGTGGCGGCTTCTCAGATTTTTTTCCCCTTTTTCTTTTCCTGGGAAAAAAAAGGTCTCTGTTTTTCGGGTTTTGAGAGTCTTTGAGAAAGGAGAGAGGTTGGTGAAGAGACGAAGGAAGAAGGACGATTGGTTGGGTTTCTTCTCACTAACATACCCACCAACTCTTTTTTTCGAGTGAGAGAAATTTGAATCTCGGATTCGGACATGTCGAGTACATCCGCTTCGTTGTCTTGTTCATCAACCCAGGTCAATGGTTTCGGTCTTAGGCCTCAAAGGTCGCTTCTTTACCAACCCACTTCGTTTTCTTTCTCCAGGTAAATATAAAAACATGCTCTTTTTTCTTCAATTTTGCTCATTGGAATCAAAAACCACCCAGCGAGACTTTGTTGTAGTAGTTTGGTTTCTGCGGTTTGCTCAGAGAATCAGAGATCGGTTTGTTTGGTGTTGTTGAATTGAAAATTTGCTGAAACTATGTGGTAATTGAAGATTACTTGTTCTGATTCTATGGAGTCATAATCTGATTCAAGGAGTATACATTAACATGTCGAGAGCTTCTGCTTGTGATTTGTCATTTCAAAGAATCAATGTGCATTATACCTGTTATTCTCAAGCCATACTTTGGTCTTTAAAACTCCTGCAGAAAGAGAAGTCATGGTATCGTGAAGGCCTCAGCTCGGGTTGATAAGTTTTCGAAAAGCGATATAATCGTCTCTCCTTCGATTCTCTCGGCTAATTTCTCCAAATTAGGCGAGCAGGTTTTTGTTGCTCTCCCTATGAAAGTTACCTCCAATGAATGTTTCCTGTTCTGGTTGCTCCATTTCACTTTCTTTCTTTCCTTTTTCGCTTTTGTCTAGGTAAAAGCAGTAGAGTTGGCAGGTTGTGATTGGATTCATGTTGATGTGATGGACGGTCGTTTTGTTCCCAACATTACAATCGGACCTCTCGTGGTTGATGCTTTGCGCCCTGTAACAGATCTTCCGTTGGATGTTCATCTTGTAAACCTTTGCTCCCTTTTCTTCTATATATATATATATGGATTCTTGATTGGTCAAGTAACCTTTTCTGATGAAGGATTCTCTAAAACCAGATGATAGTGGAACCCGAGCAGAGGGTACCGGATTTCATCAAAGCAGGTGCAGATATAGTCAGTGTACATTGTGAGCAGTCATCGACCATCCATTTACATCGCACCGTCAATCAAGTACTGATATTTTCATGCTTCAACTTTTTAAAATTTCCTTCTGGTGGAGTTGTCCTAAACTTTTGACAATTAATCTCTTACCTTGTGCTGCTACTATGGTGTTTAGATAAAAAGCTTAGGGGCTAAAGCTGGAGTTGTCCTAAATCCTGGAACCCCATTGACTGCAATAGAATATGTCTTGGATGGTGAGTTTTTTCTGTCCTAACACTGCTCTTGCTTTAGCGAGAAATGATAAGATTATTCTTATTAGAGCATTGTTTGTTTCTGGAATCAGTGGTGGATCTGGTCTTGATAATGTCGGTCAACCCTGGGTTTGGTGGACAGAGCTTTATCGAAAGCCAAGTAAAGAAAATCTCGGATTTAAGAAAAATGTGTGCAGAAAAGGTATCGATCCAGTAACTTCTCTCTGAGTGAAAACCTCTTCTCTTCTCAAAACATTGTGTTTGTGTGATTACTACAGGGAGTCAACCCATGGATCGAAGTTGACGGTGGTGTCACTCCAAAGAATGCATACAAGGTAGAGCTCGAAAACTCTTCCGAGTTTCACATTTTATTGTTGTAGATATTTCTGTGTCCTTGGGATCTCTGGATTATGAATCTTTTTGTGAGTTGTGTAATAGGTTATTGAAGCTGGAGCAAATGCTCTTGTGGCTGGATCAGCTGTATTTGGAGCCAAAGACTACGCAGAAGGTATGAAACCATTATATATACTTCTCTGAGTTTTAGCAAGAGGGACAACATTCTAAACACTTGCTATGTTTGAATAAATCTGCAGCTATCAAAGGAATTAAGAACAGCAAGAAACCAGAAGCTGTGGCTGTGTAATGTGAAGCAACAAAGTGATAAAGACTGTTAAACTTAGGTTGATGATTTCTCTGTATCTAAATACCCATGTTAGTATCTTAATACCCTGCTTGCAGTAAACAAATTTTGAATCTTGGTAATGAAAATTCTCAATGTGTTTTGTGCTGTAGTGTTCTAAAGCATTTCCCTTTGTCTATAATTCTTTACCTGTTACTTCAGGAACATTTTAAAAGCCAAAAACAATCACCAAGATGATGTTGTTGTCACCATTCACCAGTTTTCTTCCTATTCTCAAAACAGTTTCAAAAGTAGGCTCGTTTATACTCTTACATACATGTTGCAATGAATCACTGTAATAAGAAATAAGCTGTTACATATCTATTTTTTCACTTTGGAATGTAAAGCATTTTCATTTGCCTTGCCCAAAAACTCTGTATACAGTGACAATCACTTTGCTAGATTTTCTGTAAAAGCTTTATATCCTTACATACACAACCAAGAGCCTGTGATTGAACAAAAAAATCGCAAAGCTCGCAAGATTTACTTGCAGATAATGCAAAAAAAAAAAGAGACTCGGATATTGTTGCCGATTAGCTTATACTTTCCAAACGACTAGGATTGGTCAAGAAACAAGCTGATCTTAAATATCCATTCTCCTGGTAAAACCTAGCTAGCAATTGATTCACCAAAAGGTTTGGTAAGATTCCAGTTTTGATCATGTCACAGTGCAATATCATTGTGTCGATTACACGTTTTTCTTGAAAATGACCCTTTAACATTGAAACATAACTCCACAAGTCCGGGGTTATCCCGCCAGATCTCATGTCCGAGAACAACCTGCTAGCTCGAAGAATGTAGCCGTTCTGACATAAACCTTGAATCAAGCATGTAAAACCCACATGATTCCAACATCCCATTTCTTTCCCGTTCACAGCTTGTTTGTTTTCCAGATAAAACTCGATGGCATTAGAGATTCTCCCTTCTTTCCAGAATCCATCTACTAGGCAAGCGAACGTGTGATCATTGGGTTGGATTCCAGCCTCTAACATGTCACTGTACAGCCTGAGTGCTTCTTTCATGTTAGCCTCCTTGAAATGCGCATCGATCAAAGTTGTGTAAGTCACAACATCAGGAACTATACTTTTGATGGTCATCTCAGAGTACAAGCCCATTGCAGCTTTTATATTTCTCACCATGCAGTAACCGTCGATCAAAGTAGAAAAGGTTATGATGTTGGGTTCTACGCCACTTGATGTCATCTCTGAGCACAAATCCAGCGCTTTCTCCATATCGTAGTCTTTACAATACCCATGAATCAACGAATTGTAAGTCGCAGAGCTCGGAAAAATTCTCTCCTTTTTCATCCTCTGAAATAATCGATTTGCTTCTTCTAGCCGATCTTCAGTACATAGCCCACTGATAAGTATAGTATATGTGAATACATCAGGCGAAAGATTCAAACTTTCCATCTCGGAACACAATCCCATTGCTTCCAACATGTTCCCTGATCTGCACTGTCCATGAATTAAGCAGTTATAAACATATAAATTAGGATCAACCCCAAACTTCACCATATGCACCATAAGGCTCCTTGCAGCTACCAATTCGTGAGCTTTGCAAAAACCATCGACTAATGTGCCGAAGATAACAACATTTGGCAGCAATTCAGCAACCAGGATCTCCTTATACAATGTGTAAGCTCGTCTCAGGTTACTGATCTTGCAGTAACCATCAATTATTGCACTGTAAGTATACAAGTTTGGAACAACACCATGTTTCTTCATCGACTGGAACATTTTCTCTGCTTCCTCCATCTTATTTTCTCTACACAGATCACGGATATATATGGTATAGATATAAACATTCGGCTTGATCCCTATGGATGCCATTTCATCAAGAAGTACCTCTTTCTTTGAGGAAAGACCTTGTTTGAAACAGCATTGAAACAAAACTGAGTAAATGTGGACATCAGGGACCAAACCACGGGAAATCATAAGCTTGTGGTCTGCCCAGACTGAATCAAACCATCTCCTTCTAACCAATCCATTCAAAATCGCAAGACAAGCTTTAGAATCCGGAGATAATCTCATCTCTCGATTCACCCAAAGAGCTTCTTCAAACAAACCCATCTCCAGAAACTCCATAATCAATAGACTAAACACCCCGATACTGAATTCCGGAGTCTGAGTATCGTCGAGGGCATTAAAAACCCTATAAGAAATGTCAGTCGGCTTAATGTTGCGCCTGAGACTTTCTATGAGGCTTTTTATCAAACACCTGGCGAGCGTATACTTATGGGCACTGGTTAAAACATGAATTACAGTCGTCAAATGTCTGAGATCCTTTGTCTTCGACGTCTTGAGCCTTGAAGACGTTTCGAACAGCTTGAGCACTTCGTCTGCTGATCTGCATTTCAATATTGCTTCGGCCAGACTCGAAGAAGGCAACGAAGAAGATGACTTTGAGGGAGAAGAAGATTGAGATAAGAATCTAAAGGTGAAAAATTGGGACTTGAAGATGTAAGATGCTGTTCTATGTTGGAGGAGCTGAAGCTTCAACATCTGGAGAGGAAGATGGTACGAGTCGTCCGATTCTGGTCAAACTGAGAACTACTTTCCCAATTACGTTAGCGTACGATAACCTCATCGGTTTATCTCCCGGTTAACTTTGGTTTATTAAATAATTCTTAAAATCTTTAATAAACCAATTATG